AATTCTTCCTTACACAACTCTGTAAACAATTCACGGAATTGCTTGAAATGGAGCTACAAAGTTGTTGCTAGATGTATGCTGAAGTTTGGATCTCAAAAAAGATTTCCATTCCTGTTTGTTCAGAATATGTATTAAATTAAAAAGAAAGAACTACTGCTTACACTTCAATTATTATGAGACATAATGCTTTATTCAACCAAAAATTGGAGCAGAGAACTAATACTATGACAGATGCAAACTATTTGCTAAATATACAACGGTCACATTTATGAATACGATTCTCTCCGTCTCATATTAATAAAATCATAACTACTCTTCTGTATTTGGAGTTCAAAGGCACACCAACATTAAAGTAATTTATTTCTATTAATTTGCCATGTTTGTTACTTATTCAACACTGATAAAAAATATGATATGGATAGTTAAAATGTTTTACTAATCACCTTAGTTTTCGTATTTAAAACAATTTCAGTCTATCATAACGCGTTCAATTCAGTTTCCACTGTGTTCTTTTGAGGAATCAAATTTGCAGCTATTAAATAAAATGAAAGTAAGGATGAAAGCTACTTTCACTATTCACATTTTAATTATCATATTCATCTTTTCCTCTGCTTTTAAATTAGTAATTTTCTGTATTCATGCATGTTATTTTTCATTATAAGTCGTGACTAGGTTCTTGTATTCGTTTTTCCATTTCTTTAAGCAATTTTCGTTAAAACAAATAAATTTTTGAACTGTATACCCATCACACCGCTTATTTTTGTTCTAAATTTTATGCCTGCAGTTTGAACAACGTAGCGTAGTTAATTTGTTAAGAACTAAAACGATATAAATTTCATTTGACGAATGATAAATAAAGTTATTCAATTAGATCGTATAGAATGAGACAAGTTTACCTGTAATTCATCAGGCCGGAATTTTTCGTCATAATATTTGGTTTTTCTTTCAATCATTACTGAGAAAGCTCAGCAACAAGGTCCTTGTGCAAATTATTCAGAAACATGATATCAGTTCGAAAACTGACTTGCAAATACGAGGAATAAAGTGTTTGATAAGCAATTCAAAAAATTCATAAAGATTAAATTATATGCTCTTTCTGTTTATTTAATGGATCTTAAAGTAATAAAATCAATCTATATACATATGAACCAGTTGCAGACTCAATAGCACTCATAGAAAATCCTTTGCTTAGAAATACATTTGATCATCTATCATTCCTGCTAAATGGTTTATATTTCTAGAACTGACTGAAAAGAGCAGAAGTCGGCTAATTTTCCTACCTAATCTAACTTTCTCTTTCTGAGCTTTACTTCCTCCACTTTCTCCCTTAATTTAATACCAAAGCAAACTTTAGTTTGACTTTCTAACTCGTTCATATGTTTCTGAATCATCATAAACTTGTCTGCAATATGTAATTCATATTTTTGTCTCTTTATAATGTTTCTTGTTAATAATTTAAGGATAGACAGCTACTTGCTCCTAGTTTTTCCTTCACTTTCTTCATTCTCCTTTTTAGCATCGTCATCACATTTTTACGGGAAATAAATTTATTGTCAGACGATTATTTCAAATTTCAAATAATTATGAATAACTTAGAAATTGCCATTGTTCATTTTTGAGGACTTTTTTTATTACATTGAAACTCAAAAATAACTTTCTTTGTTAAGACATGTATGAATTCCAATGCGATATATTTATATGCTATATTAACTACTATCAGTTAAGTGAACTGATTTTTAACTCCATAATGTCTTACTAAAAAGTTACATGATGGAAATGAAAAGCGATTCTTGAATATTTTCTCTCGCATTTAGGATAAAGTAAATCCATACATCATCCTCTGTGCTTTTACTATTCTTAGAATCTCCTATTAACACGGCAAAGTACATTTTATCATATTCATTGCAGTTTCCAGTGTCATCCCCAAGTGATATTGAAAAAATTCCATCGAACTAACAAATTTTTATCGATCTGTTCTATCATATTTGACTTCCACTGCGACTCCTAAAATTAATAACTCAAACTTTCGCACTTCTTTTCGTGCTCGATGCAGTCATTGTCATCGAAACTCTTGGAAAATTCATTCATTTCTCATGAAATTAATCACTCTTTCGTTTTTACTACAACAAAAAAGTACATTTTCCTGTTTATCAGTGTAAGTGTTGATTTTTTCACTGCCCTTCTCATGAGTATGTTAAGATTGAGAATTGCATTACTCATCTTAAGTTTCTATCGCACATAAACTATGAAACTACTGCTGTGAACTTGTTTATTGCTTTGCATTATATCGCAAAAAAGACTATTTTGCATCAATTTTTTGTTATGATACAAGAAGTTATTGATCAAAAATCTAAAAAGCTGCTTTTCACATTTCGTACCAAAAAATTTTTTATTTCAAGAAAATAGTCAGCTTGATTGTTATACTAATATACAGTTCGATCACAAGGATTTTGGATTTTGCCAAGTCAGAAACTAATTTTGATATCTGATCGTGCTTCTACCATGAGATCAGAATAAGATACTTGTTAACATCTCATACTGCTAAGTGGTTGTTTCGGTAAAAAAAAACACAAAACTTTCACATTTGAAAGCAATAGATGTAAAGATGTGTATTTTTTAGTTACGTGTAGGTTTTCATTTTCACGTGATTGTTGATCTTTTTCTCTTATGATAGTATTGTTTTTTGTACGCTTATTTTTGAAATATAGTACTGAAGGCTGAGCATTCACTTGTTATTTTATGAATATTGGGAATGAAATGCTGCAGATGAAAAAGAAAGATTTTATCACTTCTAAAAACTTCCGTATTTTCATTAATTTTTACATTTTTACCATTTTTGAAATTCTTAGCATATAGAGTTGATTGATCTGAAACTTTTAAACTATTATAGAATAAGACACTGACACATATATGGCCTTTGACCTTATAAATTTTGTGTAAAATTAAACTCAAATCATTACTGCTACATGATATTTTGATTTATATCGGATGAAGTAAAATCGGAAAATAATTTTTGACCAAGGATCTAGACAGAAATATTCTTAAACCTTATAAATTTAAAGATTGAAAATTTAGAAAATTAGATCGTTAAATGACCATTTAAAAAAGGTTCTCTCTTCCATTGCAGTTGCTAATGACTTGCTTTTCTATTTGTTTAGACATTTTGAATGTAAGTGAATTTGTCATTTTACTTTAATTTATGCAAAACTTGTTTGTTTGACTCGCAAGGTTTTTATTCTTTTATTAGGATTTGGATAGTTATACAAAGAATTCGTTTTTTGCTCCCGTATTCATCCTGCAGATTCATTTTTATGTAGTTTTCGTAAATATTAGCGTTTAGTGAGATGCATTTATTGCTTTCAAATGTAAAATTTTTATGGCTCGTTCTTTTACAAGACTAATCAGAAAACTGCATAAAGCTTGGCTTGAAACGGGTCAAAGCAAAACCAATAATTAGATTAGTTTGAGTCATGAATGTAGCATACAATTAATGTATTTTTTCTAGTTTCCGTTTGTAATTGCTTTAAAAGAAAGTGAAGGTTTAATTGAACTGAACACGAACTTGGTGCTTTTTTTATCTGCTTAGCTGAGGTATAACTATCAGCTCTGTAATTATCATTCAGACACCCAACATCAAAATTTCTTGTTTTAGAATGTAAATTAAATTTGCAAGATCGACTGTCAAGAATATTTTAATTTCATATGATTAATGGTTCAGTTCCATTTGAATTCACTAATCAGAACTACATTATAAGAAAAAAAGGATTTTTTCGGCACAAACATATGCAAGGATACTTTTCACGTACACTGATATTAAGGTCTTTTTAATATTTTGATCATATCTTCGAATGAAAGCAATCAAATATGACTGTAATCCCAATTTATGAAAATAAGAATTCTAGAAACAGCATAGTTAAATATGTGCTGCAGTTTCTAAACCTTGAAGAGTGTCAAACTGCAGTTATAATTTTACTAAATATAAATCAGTTTTCTAAATATGAATCAGTGATAATACTTTTATAAAAAATAAGAACTTTGAAAGTACGATATTTCACTAATTGATGATTCCTGAAACATAGCTTTATTTAAATACATTTTTCATTTTAGCTAAACATATTAAGTTCTCCTTAAATTGATCTCCTATTACGTAATCAAAACTAATTCAAACGTTTTCTTAGAAGTTTCTAATCATACTGTATTTCTGAATTTTCTCATATTTGGAAAAATGAATATAAGAAATTTTGTGATAAGAGTGTTAATTTATTATTGCTATTTTACTGAAAACTTGATCGTCAAAATAAAGTTGCTTCTCGCATTTTTTGGTAGCTTATTTTGTCATAGCAATTCACACATTTGACAGTGGCTGTTAATTTAGAGTTAGAAAGCTGAAGCTTCATTTTTTCTTTTTGTGTCTAATCACATGCATGAAAATTTTTCAAAGATTTCAAAAACTTACTGAATATGAGAATGAGTTTTCGGCCAAATCAGTGAAAATTATGTAATTTAGAGAAAATAATAATAATTTTGTATTTTTGCATTTCATTCTGCTATCTGCCAAATTGATTTCATCCTATTTCTTTCTTATTTTTTTTGTCTGATTTCTCGGGTTGTTTTTTTTTTTTTGAAAATTTATGTCTTTTTAAGTTTTGATGATGTAATTTTTGTAATTATTCTCGCTATCCACTTAGTAGCTGTGCTTACCTTAAATAACGTTTTTAATCCAGTGTCATTGAGCCCATTATTAATTTTCGCCATTCGTTCTTATTTTTTGAATTATTTTTCGCAAGAACGAAACCGTTACTTACCTTTTAAATTAAAATAATGCCTAATTCCATGACGAAACGGTAAATAGTCTTTTGAAAAACTTTTTTTCGTTTTTTGCATTTTGGTTTTTGCATATTTTCGGCGTCTACCTCGTTTTTTTAAGCAGTCAAAAATGAATCAGTTTAAGTTTACATCGTAGCGTAAGGTGAAACTGGTAACCAGATTTTGGTGTTGCAATGGATGACGCTAAGCATATGGCACTACTCTTTTTTATGGACCATCTGATGCAAAAGAATGGCCGACGTACAATCCATGATCTTAGTTGCCAGTTTGGAGCACGTGGATTTACGGCTGAAATGCGTGATGCAGTTGGTACCACGCAAGAAGGCCTTACTGACTTCCTCAATCAACATCCATCTTTATTTACCGTTGAGGGTGACCAGGTAAATTAAGACAAACTTGAGTTCAGCATAAATTAATCTTTCCATATTAGAGTATTATTGCCACTGCAAGCACTGTACGACTTCTGTATTCATGTGTGTTAGGAAAGTCCTCTCTGTTCAGTCTCCTCCATTAGAAGTCTTCTAAATAATAAGTTTGTTGACAAAGAGATTCATACAATAGATACTTCAGTTGAGATCTTGATCTCAAATCTATCTTGTTTCTTTGTTTTTGTTTATGGCTGCAGAAAGTTTTGTTTTTCTGTATTATTATGATTTCTCTGTTTTTTCCTAAAAACTTATTAGATGTTTTCAGGTTTGCTTAAATGATTTCGGTGATGTGAATGCTAAAAATAACCCTTTGTTGCAAACCAGCGGAAATTCTAGGAATCGTGATTATGTTAAAGAAGCGGTTCAATTTTTTGAAGCAAAACTGCAAAAATTTGGTCCAGAGTTGCAGGTTCATTTTTCTAGATATTAAAATGTTACTTTTAAAGTTAAGATTTATTGTTTCGAAGATATCGACTATGATACTAACTTAGCTGCGTTGTTTTAACTATTTATTTAATGCCTACTGATTCAATCAGTTTTTTTTAAAGAATTAAAAATACAGATTAAAAGCTTGCTTGGTCATCGTTCTCAAGCTGCTCCTGAAGTACGGCTCGTATCAGGAAGACATCTTAAGGATTTTTGCGAATTTCTTCAGTCCCAGAGTGATTATTTTGTGGTTGAAGGAGACCGTGTTCGATTAAAAAACATGCCAGAGCCAAGTAATGCTGGTATTGAATTGGATGATGAAGGCAAACCTTTAGCTGGTGTAAAAGCCAAGCAAGCAGCGGTGGAATATTTGAAATCTGTCGTAGAGCAGGTTTTTTTTTAAATTGTAACTTTGCAAAATACATCAGAAGTTTAAATACTTCATGTAAATTTCTTCATGAAATATGAAAATAAGAAATCTAATAATAAAAATTAATCTGTTTGTTAAAAAAAAGCAGAGCAGTTGTTTTATAAATATAGTTACTGCAGAGATCTCAGCTTGCAGAATGATGAGCAACCGATACCAATGGATGCATTCTATCAAAAATTTTGCGATCGTTTTTCGCACACTGTCAGGCAAGAAGTAGCTACTAATCCAAAAGAACTGCTACAATTCTTAAAGCTCAACCGCAATGTCTTTTTCATTAGATCGAATAAGGTTGCTTTTGCTAAAATCTTTCCGTCATATTTATTGCTCTATTTTCTAAGCAATGCAAAGTATTAAAAGGTTTAACATGCTTAATATATTTCTACTTTTCATTATTTTGCGTGGAATATTAATTTATTGATACGTAGTAAATTTTTAAATTAAAATATATTGTTCCACACATAGGTTTCACTCGTGAAAAATCGCGCTTCAGAAGATGGTTCAGAAAGTGGTTCTGCTGAAAGCTCAGAACATGAAAACAACAACAATCACTTAAATCATACTGCTATTAATCGGATCAATCTCGTAAAAGCATTGAAGCCTGCGCAGGTGAAACAAATTCTTTATTGATTATTGAAATTTCAAGATGTGAGAAAACTTGTTATCTAAATATAATTAAAACAAAGCAAGTGAAAATTAAGAAAGTTTAGGATGCTGTGTCTTCGATAAATTCAGAAATTGATACGATGGAAGAAAGAGTTGTTGGAGTAGACTTCAAGACAGTCACTCTTGGAATGCAAGGAGAGGAGTTTCTGTCTTTGGTTGTATTGGCAACAACTTCTCAAATTATAGTTTTCGATGTTGTTCACAGTGATACAATACTGTTGGAAAGTGGTGTGAAAGAAATTTTAGAATCCGAGAAAATCGCCAAAGTAAGATTAGTCTTTTAATTGAAGAGCCTCCTTGATTTTGAAATTTATCTATTTAGTTCAAAGAGGTTTTATTTTACTTCATCATGAAATTGTTCTGTGTGAACTGTTGATGTGCAATGATCTCTGTTAATCTATCTCTGAATTGATCTCTATTAATCCATAGTTAATAAAATAGTTTAGTTATTTTTGTGAGAAACACGCTACTTACTTAATCCATTAGTGTCGGTGTATTTATTATATAGATTATAGCATTCTTTTTTTCCAGGTAATACATGATGCTAGGAGAGTAGCTACACTGCTTGCTCACCGCTATGCCATAAATCTTAGAAAAATCTTTGATACACAGGTTAGTTTTTTCACAGTTCAAAATTTTTATCTTAATCATTCCTTGTGCTTTAAATTTTCGCACATGTGAGTTTCTTGATTTAAAACAAATTTTATATACAGGTAGCGCATGCAGTATTACAACATGAGAAGTTTGGGAAAGCTTTGACGGATATGCGTGCAATATCATTCTTGAATCTTCAGCGAGTATATTACCCACAATCGATAATGATGTCTGACATAACACCGAGGAAACTCTCGCAACCACCTAGGTAATAACATATTTTTTCATTCACTGATCATTTACAGCAAAATTATTACAAGTATGTTTTAGTTGGGGTTCGAGGCCGTTAACCGATGAGTTTCTGCTGACTGTAGTTGAAGAGGCATACTGTCTTGTAACAGTGTTATATCGTATGATGAGCACAATGTTGCCAAAACATCTGTCTGCATTGTTCGAAGAAAAATGTCTCAAAGCACTAATACCTAATGCAAATCGTCCGCCACCTGCAATATACCCAACGAACGGTACAACGCCCTTCAGATTGCCAAGAAGAATTGGCGGAGTAGTTGGCACTTTGAACAACGTCATTTCTTCAACACTTCCCTCATTGCGACAGGTTAGCGACGCCTCAACACAGACATTTTCTACAGGCGAAATAAATGTTCTCAGTGTATATTACGACAGCTAATTAAGTGATTGTTTCAATATTTCAATATCCTTAGTTGGCGTGTTGAGTAGTCTAATTCACTGGCAGTAGCCAGAAAAAACATATTGAAGACTGAAATGCTCATACTATTGTGTAACCGAAATCGGCCTAAAACTTTGATCATTATGCATGTTACTATTTTTTACATGTGATGAAAAAATACATGATAGTGGCTAGTAATCCGCCATTGCTATTATATTTTTTCATAATTTGAACTTTAACCCGTTCTGGCTCATTATATAGTTCCTTACTGTAACAAATTTTATTATATACACGATTTATTTGCTGACCGGCTCTTTTTTCTCCGTATATTATCGTAATCTATTATTATTTGCGTTCTCCCTTGCAAAATATATTCTTTAGACAGTCTGCTTTCTACAAATAATATTCTAACAGCGTATAAGTCGTGGAAATATAAGACGAAATTACTGATAACGCCAAAGCTTGACCAAAATTGTTTCTAAAAATTTTTTTGAACAGATTTGACTAAAAATTTCTATCCGCTTGTGTTTTGCTATAATGTTGTCTTCATTATATGTATGATGTTTACTTTCCATTTTTGATCTACCCTATTTATTTTTCTCCATTTGTTATATGAATTGTTACTTGTGAACTGTCTTCTAACGGCATAAAACTACTGTTCTCTCCTCGCTCTCGAAAAAAATAACTGTAAAACTTATCATTTAGAGTTTAGAACTCTACGAAAGGTTCGTCATCTTATAGCAACTTTATAATCATCAGAACTATGTCAATTCCCCAATATGATAATATAATCTTATGATTATTTATCTAAATTTGATTAAGCATATTTCAGTTGCCAATTTCATTTATAAATTGACGTAAAAGCTAACAGTTTTAGCAGCAATGAATAATAAATGTTAACTGAAGTGGGAAAGTGTGAACAGGAATCGGCAGACTGAAGTTAAAATTGAGGCACGTTCCGAGAAGAGGAAGTAATGAATTATGGTTCGCTTTTTCCTTCATTTCAGTGTCGAGAAGAGTGATTGATTGTAAAAGCTTCCTCGAGATCAAGATTTGATTCTACTGTAATTGAGTGATCGACGGTTTTTGAATATATGGATAAGCTATCAGGATGGCACCGAAATTGCAGCTTCGCGTGCTCATTATCGCGTCGCTGCTTCAATCGAGCCATTCTCGTTGGTCGTTTGCATGCTACATAATAGCACATTTCACACATGAGTTCAACTATTTCCATCACTGCAAATGTTTTTCTGCTGGTTGTTTGACTTTATTTTTATTTTTTGTAGCTATTAGATATTTAAGATTGAAAGTAAAAGCTTCATTACGAACTTGTTATGATTGAAAATCCAATCCAGAGACCAATATTGCCACCAAAGTCCGAAAATAAATTTACAATCTGAATAATTTAAGTGCTAATCTTAGAATTATTCAATGCAATAATTACTTCGAAATTGTCTGTGCACAAGAATTCAATTAATCAAATCCAAATTAATCTTAAATATCAAACTGCAGCACATGAATCCAAATAACAGATATCGTATGAATTTGAATAGCAATCTAAAATCATTCAGTAAACAGTCACGAGGCCCTATGTGAGGAGGACAAATAGCTAGAAATCTGAAACAAACCGAATATCCAGCAGTTTCGCGAAGTGTTTCAAAGTTCAGTTGTTCATAATAAATTTCAATGTAAGCTGTATTTTTTCTGGAAGCAGATTGTTTTCAATTAAATCCGTTTTGAAAACAAAATATACATTAAAAACCAGAATATTGCTATAAGGAAAACAAATGAAATTCGAACAAACCTGTAATATTCGGTGCAAGCACTAGAGTCATTTGCAATGTCAATAACAGCTGGGCATTCGATACCAATGATAAAATTTTCCGCTGGCCAAGCAGCTGCCGAATAAGCCGTTTCAAAAACATTTTCATTACAAGGCTGAACACATTCGCAATCATGTTGGATGTGATGAAAGCCACCAGAATGCTGAGTAAAGTTGCGCAGACATTTACCTAAAAACTTTATAAAAGTTGAGAAAAATTGTCAGTGAAAAAAATTTTTTTTATCCCAAATAAACTGATTTTCATGTTTTTGGAATAGCAGTGAGTCGCTACTCATTTTATGCATTTATTTTACTTTAATGCAAATTAGCAATATCAACAAAGAATAACAAAATAAAAAAAATAATAACTGTACAAAAAATAACTACCGAAGTTTCAAAAAATCTTGGTAAAATGGCAAATCCTATTATCAAAAAGCAATTACGATAATGTCAAAATAAGTGCTTACTTTCGGTTATATTCCTCACGTTACATGGATGATAATCTGCCGAAGGTAATGGAAATCGTGGATCACCACAGCCACATCTATTCAATACTGTATGTTGAAAACAATTACGATAGCAACCCTAGAATGAAAAAGGTGCTTTTGTAATGCGATTAAAAGTTTATATTTACTAACCACAAAGACATTCAATAAACAGTCAGTAAATACAAACTCTGACTGTTTATAGTAAACCTCAGGTGAATTATTAAGAATATTATAAACCTCAGGTGAATAATGTTCTGCATAAATATAGCCAGCTGGCCTAAATGTGTCACTACACATTCCGTATGGTGCATCAAGACGATGTAAAACTTTCTGAAACAAAAATATTAAATACTATGACAATTAAGTAAAAGCAAACATGTTACGGTCGTTATTTAATCAAGAAACATGTAAATGATTACCATTTTCAAGCCAAATGACGACACAACTCCGGTCGGTGCACTATAACCAAATGTGTCTGGAAAAGGCTCCTGATCCTGAAAAGATTCAACTTAATGAATGCTTCTTTGCCCATTCAGAATATTTTGAACCTACTAACCTGTTCATGGACAACAAGCCGAACACCAGCGGCTTCAGTTGTGGGCAAATAATCACTCTGATTGACATTAAGTAGTAAACGCAATCCATACATAGGTCCTGAACATGTAATCTTCACAAAAATTGCTAACGATCAATTACAAAAATGAGTAATGGCTCAAAGTTTTTAGCAATTATAGATAGTAATTTTGGAGTCATTATAAATTTTAGAATAATTTGATTATTTGTTATCAATTTTAAGTGTTAATAAAAATTTGATGTTATCTTTTAAACTGCATATCATGCAAAAATAGTCAAGTAATATCAATATGCATGCATTTCCAAGTAATGAGAAACTAGCTATATTTGAATTGTGTTAGATTTTGTATATCTGACAACAATTAATTATTTTAATGCACTATTCCACCTTTTATTTATGTAAATATTATTAAGAAATTGTGACTGATTAGTGACTATTTGAAACTAGCAACCTGCACGACTATTTTTCAGTTCAACCGAATCGTTAAAGTTAAATGTGTAGCAATTTCCATATTCAGGATCCATATGTAATTCAAAATCCCTGAAAGAAACATCATCATCTTCACTTCATGCATTTTTATTGCACAAAGTATGCAAAGTATTGTATGTAAGTATGCATTTTTATTGCACAAATTAGAAATGGTCATAAATTATTAAGATCTCAAACCTATCAAGAATGCAATCTTCGCTATTGAATGAACAACGAAGTACAAATTCTTCCAGTGTGTAAGACAGATTTCTACGTACTTCTTGAGGCAATGCAGCAACCATGAATATCACATTTTCTTTCGCCTTTGCTGTCATAGCAGCTGGATCTTGTCTTTCCTTCAGAAAAAAAGCATATTTCACGTTAAGGTGCAAAATGTATCATCAAACCTTTTATGCTAAAAAAGTTACATCTGTTGACAACACAAATTAAGTTTAATATTCCTTTTATTTTGCTACAACATAAATTGCACTAATTTTTAGACTGGTAATTTGCAAGTAATGTAATTAAGTCCATTTCGGTTGCTAGTTGTAACTAGAATTCATTTCAAAAATTCATGTGTTTTAATATGTAGAGTAAGGATGGAATATACAGTCAAGCCAAAGGTTTCAGCAAGTTCAAAAGATGCTGTTGATGATGACATGACAGAATATATTGTAAAATTATTAGGATTCCACCATCGCATGCCACCTTCTGGCACTATAACGCAGTTATTGGAGACGAATTGACACAAACACTTGTGAATCTTAGTTGATGAATTTGACACAGAAGTATTGGATCGATCAGGATCATTACAAGTATTCGATAACGAGCAATCAAAGCACTGCTAGAAATGTTCAATGAATGTTTAACTGCAAGTCCTTTATAAAAGAATTATTAATATATCAAAACCAAGAATGCTTACCTTCTCGGTCCACATAGTTGTAGCATAACATGGCCAAATATTGCCTGTATTTACATCTTCGAAACAAATGCATACTGTTGTATTTCTCTGCAATTATTACAACATTATAAGTGATTAAATCAAAGTGATATGTGTGTAATTTTTGATTTGATCAAAATTTTTTACTAATGATTATAACTATACTTGTAAAGGATTTCTTTGTGGAACACAAAGATCATCTGGATGAATGCAATTACATCGAACAAATACAGGCGTGTAATTAACTTCACGCCTTTTTCTTACTGAGATATCGGAGTAAATTGCTGAACCTTTATACCGATTGATTTTTTCTTCCCAAATATCTAACTAAAACAACCAATGCTTTCAATATTATTTAAAAAATTTAGCAGTATTTAAGTAAAATGAATGTATGTTTTAAATTTAAAGTTTCAGACTATCAGTTAAGCATTTAAAATTTGGAAATAAAATATGCTACTGTAAAAGGAAAATTGTCTATCAAATGCTTAAATTTCGATTTTCTCGCAGTAGTACATAGTTTTCAAAAGAAATTGTAATTTAGTAAGTAATAAGAAAAAAAAACCCCTTCATAGATAGTTTGATACTTCTTTAATTCACTGTTTTTAAAGGCATTCAAATTGCAAACAGTAGCTGCGGGAAAAGGAGCTAAAAACCATGTATTATTACTTGAATAATTTGTAATTATTTTGCTGACTATTTTTTGTCTACTGTTATATCACTATAAAAATAGGACTGCTTATTGAAAGAAGCTCTAATTTCTACGTGATTTGGAATTTGAACTGTATCATTACCATTTTATAAATAATCCAAAAAATTTTTCTGAATATAATATTAATTTTCAACAAGCTGCTCTGAAACTACTTTCAAAATTATTTCACTTTTAATTAGTTTAAAGGGACAAAAATAAGAGGAAGAAAGTAGAATCTTTGAAAGCGAAATATATGCAAAAATATAAATGACATAGAACAAACAATTTTAAATAATGGCATGAAAAAATTGAATAAAGTGAAACAAATTGTTTCACATCCAAACAGAAACAATCATGCTACTTAATAAAAACAAAGCTCGTATTTCTTGTAGTATTTCATTGACTCATTTGTTTCATACCAGGTTCAAATTTTAACTGCATTTCAATTATTGTTCTGTATTGGAGAAATTCTGATAACGTCCAATATGTTTGGTAAAGGAATAAAACAAAGCACAGTAAAGTGATTAGTGTCCATACAGTACGACTAAAAAAAGATGGCGAGCTGAAATTATAGTTTATAAATATAAAATACTTTTGAAGCAGTGCTATTTAAAAACAATTAAAATGATATGTGCATCAAAATAAAGCTGTTTCGAGCATAATGAATTTTGGATCTATCTTGTTTTTCAAACATCATAAAGAATTAATATACCTAATTAATGGAATACCATGTGAACTAGTTCGCTCGCAAAAATCTTTGAGCAGTGCACAAGCTGAGCTATACCTTTCATCAGATACAGAACTACACCGTGAAATTCTCGATGCCATGCAAATAAAATTTGACTTTGCATTATTTACACATTATGCACTCTGCAAGTATAATCCCTGAAATAATTTTAACAAATTTTGATATAACATTTCTATTTTCATGAAATCTGGCACTGCTGAATTGTAAAGCACAGTAAATGAATAAGTTACGAAGGTTTATTATTTTAACGAGTAAATAATTTCGTTAAACGGATTTGTTTCAAATTTAAATAAATATGTAATATTTGAATTTTCAGGAAAACTTTTTTGTCAGCTTAAATTGAATTTTTCTTTGTTTACATTGAAGGAATATTTTAAAGTTATATCTCCCCTGTGTATGAATTTACAAAATATAAACTAATTACATCAAGGACGTTATGATTTCAAGATTAAAGTTAACATCAACAAGCAGATAATGTTCAATCTAGACATTGGAAATGATTAAACACTTTTTCCAAAACCGCCAAATTTGTGGAATGATGGAGTGAAACGATTTAAGTTCTGATAGCTCATTTTTCTTTAGAAAAACGCTCCCTAAGGATTTTCGTTTAACTTATCTCCCTTCTTTCGTTTCCCACAAACAGACTTTGACCCGGATTCATGTGGAGTATTACTCACAACAAACGAACTTTTGCTATCACATTATTTATTCTATCCATACTATTCAATAATGAAATGAAAAATGATGCTACCAACATGAATCAAATTCTTTCTAAACTTGAATCATGTTATTATTGTTATTAAATTTTGTGATTGTTATCATTAAGATAAGAATAAAAAGTGTATAATGCAGTAAAAGAAGAAGTGAAAGTTGAGATAATACTGTTAAAATAAGTGCTAATGACAGAGTACAATACCATTCAAAGCAATATTTCAAATCTGAATCACTTCTGTTCGTTCATATTACATGCATGGACCAGCAGTAATGGGAACGAATGATATTTACTCAATTAAAAAAATTTTGTTCGCTTGATGCTGAAGCTGATGCTGAGATACAATGACCATACTCCATCTGCACTTGAAATAAATGTAAAGAGTTCGTTCGGATTAAATTAATCTGAATGAGATAAAAGTGAATGACGATTTAAGAACAGATCCCGTTATCAAGTAAAGAGATTAATTGGTAATCAAAGTAGAAGTATGCAATCAAAAGATGAAAAAACATTTATGATTGTTCAATAAAATGTTGAATTTATGTATCGAGCACTCTTTCCGCCACACTAGGCACGATTCAACAAGTCGTTTTGCTTGCTTCTAATCATTGAATTTTACAGCACAATTTAAAAGATTAGCACAAAGGCAAACTCACACATATGGCAAGCCAAAGAATCGTGAGATGTAAAGAGGAAGTCAAGATGCAATGCCAAAAAGGCAAATAAATGTCTAATCACAGTCAAGGCTAATTTCACCAGATATAACTCAGATCAATATCACCTATTAGCCAAGAAGAATAGAAAAATTGGTGCACATGGAGGAAATAAGAAGAAAATGCATAGACGTGCTTGTCTGAAGAAGACAGGAACAGTTCTAAAGGGAGGGGATGCAAAGAATTCTCCGAGCTTGCAAATTCCAAGATTGCCAAAAAGAAAAAAGAACACGTTCTAAGTTTAGGCCCAAAACTACGCTGACAAATGCAGTTTTCAATCCAGCCAAGCAATCAAAATTTGAATAATGACGCATTCACTTCTCAATTCGATACCGAGAATCATTTCAGAAATGTAAATACTTTCTCTCTTCTTTCTACTTCAAGTTTTCTTCTCTCAGTTTTTTAAATTTATAGCTTTTTTAATTTCGTGCAAGTGAGGGTATGGCTAAAAATAAAATTTTCCAACTCACAACTTAGAATATCACGTGAAGTATATAAAAGAAAGGGTCAATTTATATGATCAGAATCTACCATGTAAAAGTTTATTCCTTATCTTGTTTATAATCGAGACCGATGATTTAATGCATAATCTTTCCAAAATAAAACAGATTTTATCGAACTATGTCAAGACAGTTTTCACTTGTAGTTTACATGGTTAAATCTTGTCACAAAACCGTAAAAATGCATATCATGCTCACACTAGAGTAAGAATTAAGGTAGTCAATTTATGGAAAGAATCTACCGTCTACATTGTAAGCTGCATGTAAACGCAACTCATAATCTTGTCAATTTGATCTCAAGATTTCTCTCCATCATCCTTTATGCAATTTAGCAATACAATGTAATTAATAGAAAAATACGCGAGGAATTACTTAGCTGCCATACTCATAATTCCAGAATACATGGCCAGAAATGCCACAAAACGTATGAAGAGAGTGTAGCTACCAGATGCTTAACACATCTTGTATTAACACAAACTGGATTAAAATTTGAAAGAACTTTTTCGAAACCAGTGTTGTGTAAATTGATACATTTGACACAAGAACTCTGAACTGTGGTTTTTGAAGCGTCGCAGAATACTATCTTTATTCAACTTTTATATATCTAAGTAGAAAAGAATGAACCAATCTTGTGAGGAATGAATAAAATGGTCCAAAAATCAGCCACATATTTGTATTCATTAAGCAGAATCTCATTCAGGTTTAGTTAAAATTGCATCATGAAATTTCTGAAGTGAAAATATTTATTCCCTTTAAAATGTTAATTAACATTCCAGCCATCACATCTTATATAGTTTTTGTTTTTATCTAGTTTCCCGATCAGCTTTGTTTCTTCTTCGGTGAGTTTCAGATCAATGGCCTGAAGAAATGATTAAGAGTAGTCAAAAAATTATTTAAAAAACCAGTTCTTATTAATTTGATAGTTTCATGCCATTTGAAAATAGAAATAGAAACTTTCTTATGTTATGCATTTATAGTATTAAAACAAACCAAATATAAATTACGTGCCACATAATAATTTTTTAAATAGATATAGTGAATAAGTTAATATTCAATGTCTGTTGAATATATTATTCAACTGAGAGTAAATAATCAAAAAGGGAATTCAATTTCAACATTTTAAATTCCTGTCTTTGAAAATACAATTTGAAACGAAAGAAATTCCTGTTAATCATTGTCCAATATTTGATTTTAGGAACTATATCATGAAATATTACACTGGTACACTTAAAAACCAACTTAAAATAGAACTAGTATGGCTGTTTTAACCATTAGCTTCCCACATCACAAAAAGTAAAATTTCGTACCTTAAAATTACTGCTCACTCGTTTTGGACTCGAAGACTTTGGTAGGACACCTATACCAAGATTCAGTGCCCAGGCTAAGAGGACGAGCTATAGATAACAAATTATAGAATGATATGATAACTAATTTTTTAGAGGAAAATTTTTATAAATGCAAAAAATTATTAAAGTACTGAAAGACCTGAGATGTTGAGTTATGTGCTGCCGCAATTTTCACAATAGTAGGATCATCTATTAGATCAGGATGATTTCTAGCCAGTGACGAATATGCCTGAGAACAAGCATTGCTATAGTAACTAGATATTTCAAGAGAATTCAAAACACTACAACAACAACCAACTATATTTCTTGAAAATAAAAAATAAGTAAATTCATGCTAGCTAGCTTACCTGAAAGAATATCCCTTCACATTTACAATAATCTCTTAATTCATTCCGCGTGAAATGGGGATGAAATTCGACTTGGTTTACAGATGGCATCATTTTTCCAAAATATTGAATCTCCTTTATATGCTTAATTTCATAATTGGAAACACCTATTGATCGCACTTTTTGTTCCTCTTAAAATGTTATTATTATAATAAACCACTAAAAATACAACAAACGTAAAGAATGAAAATTACAGTACATGGAATGAAAATAAGTTCCTGAAATGCTAGGTTTTTGATGCAAGTAATAAAGAACTGGGTCTATAAATAAAATCAACTAAATGGACCTTTTAATTTTTCAAGTTCTATATAAGCATCTTTACGATTTTGGGGATTCCGAGGATCGTCGTCTTTACTTTCTGAAGCCTTTGGATAATGTATCAAGACTAAATCCAGATAACTGAAAAATAGCTTTATATGAATGGAATAAACAAGGACACATGAAAAATACTGATGGCTTCTAAGCACCTTCTTTTAATATTACTAACCTTAACTAGGCCTAAATAAATAAATAGTTTTCGAGAAGTAAGCTGGAAATTTCCATAATCAAGAAAGTGGAAATTTTTATCAAAAATTACTCTGTCTGAAGGTCTCTAAGAGATTCATCCACCATTTTTCGTGTATGTTCAGCATTATTTGTTTCAGCTAAAAAAAATTTTGTAGTGATGAATATTTCTTCTCGTTTTAGATTATACTTCGGTAGCAATTCCTAAAAAATTTAAGTATGAGTTACCATTCGTATAGCAAGACTGAATTTCAACTAAAAGTAGCTGAGTCTTAAAGGAAGATGTGCAACTGGAAATTTTACGACCAAACAACGGCAGATCAGCATTCTCAATAATTAAAAAAACTATAAACTCTTGAAAAAGAATCAAGAATAATTTTAGTACACTTAACAGCGTAAATTGCTTTCCCAGACACCTTAATCCATACATAATCCAATATCGTCTGAGGACATGACAATATCGTTTGGGGACATGATCATGTTGCAAATATGAGGAATAATAAAGTATTGAGAAAACAAGTGGTTGCTTACGTGGAGTGCACGACCGAGCTCTGGCTCGTTCACGTAGTATTTGGCAGTATCAAAAAGCCGATAACCGACTTTCAGAGCAGCATCCACAGCTGCGGTGACCGTCTGCTGCCCCGAGATTTTGTATGTACCTAAGCCAATTAACGGTATGGAGAATCCAGTATTTAGTTTCACGCTCCCACCCGCACAATTCATCACAGCCATTGCAAATTTGATTTCTTATTCCGATTCTCGTTTTCCCGAAATTTATGCTTAATAAGCGGGAAAAAAATCATTACAAAGTAATACAAACGAGTAACTTATTCAGTTTCACTCAGAAGCCTATACTCTACCATGAAAGACTAGTCAAGAAGTAAGAAATATTCATGCCTCCACTCCTTAATAGGAAATTAATTAGTCTCCTACACTACTAACTATCCAAACTTCCTAAAACATCAAAGAAAATATGGAGAACAAATTAAAGGGCGAATTTTCGTATGATTTCCTTTGTTAAAGTGGCCGAATTTTGTAACAAACTTCGTACGCGGTTTGAAATTTGTGAGTGCCTATGTTGCTGTTTACTAGTTCGACAAGTTGGGAGAGGTCGTTCGGTGGTTGGTAGGTTTGCTGGAGGTTGAGTATTTCTAGTTGCTTGATATGGTTGGCACTGTACTGTAATGAAAACACGATAGAGTATTCGTTTTCGGTGTTTTTTTAATGAAAGTATTGCAAACTATTTCAAATGTAGTTTACTAGTAAAGGTTCATTTCTTCAAGGCTAATTTAAGATCACATATTGCACGGAAGATGATAGAATACGTGAAGTGTTTGTCACATGCCATGTCTTAATCATTTTGGGATATAAATTTCATTGTTTACTATGTTTTGTAGTGAACGAGTCTATTTCTCTTTCTGCTGTTATATTTCTATTTTTTCCTAAGAAACATTGAACTTTGGAAGTTTGCACATTTTCAGCGGCGGGAGGAAGGAAACATTAGTGATATAGTTTAGCACAGTATTTTGTTATAATTTTTACATATTTTATGTTTCACATTCATTCCTCCGAAAATTTATTACATATTTGCAAGTTATCATTTAAATGTAAGTAGTGGTCGGAAAAATATACCAGAAAAAAAGGGTGTGTCTCTGAGCTATTCAGTTTCTGACATTTTTCTTAGTTTTTTCACTTTTTCGTTTTCGTTTGCCTGGTAAAATGTTTGCGGGTTTTTCGCTGTCATGTATGGTATCTCTAATCCATCAAACTTTTCCATATTTAAATCTTAAAATATGACATTTCATTCATAAAATTTTTTTAGCTTTCAGTATTAAGTATTATGGAAATGGATATTGATGGCGATGTTAATGGTGCTTTGTCGCAAGCACTTTCATGTATGGCTACGAGTGATCGTGATGTACTCATCAAGCAATTTCAGCAAATTCTTGGTGATGACCACGTACTCTCAGATGAAACATGCGCGTTCTTTCTTGATATGAATAGCTGGTAAGTATATTCATGGCACATCTCAATTTTAAGATTTACTGAAACACTTAAATTGAATCTACTCATATTTGTCGTTTTTGAAATTAAGTGGTAATTTTCGATATTATTGATTCCAGAATTTATTTAGGAATCTGCAAGCTGCTCTAGGGGCTTATTATGATTATGGAAGTGCGAATGGTACTGGTTCTCCTCCTCCTGAATATGTTACAGAATTGCCTTCGATGCAGTTTGTCCAAGATGTTACTATAGGCGAGGTCTGCATGTTATCTGCGATATTTAAATAGTTTTGATGAAGTTTGGCATGATATTTGTTATTTCTGAGTTATTTTTCAGGGTGAGAGCGTACCACCGTGCACACGCTTTATAAAAACATGGCGAATCCGCAACTCAGGAAAAAATTGGTGGCCTAGTGGCTGTTTCTTAACTTTCATGGAAGGTTATATTTGCTTTATTTTGCACAACTGAAATATATCTTCTAATCAGAAGTAATTTAATTATTTGTAGCAACATCAGGCAATTGCTTATTTATTAAGTTAAGCGATTATAATATTAGACATGTGGATTCACCATGTTATACGTGGTCATATATTATGCTAAATGTTTATAAAAATATAAATAAACTGGATCGGTATACCAAGAGTTCTATTCTAATACCCTTATTTATCACTTGGAAGTTATAAGGTGACTTTAATATGGTAACCTCATAGGTGATAAATTGTCGGATACGACTCGATGTTGGATTCAACAGTTGCCTCCAGGGAAGGAAATTAATGTCAGTATTGAAATGGTTAGCCCTGCTGCGAATGGAATATATCAGAGCAGATGGCAGCTGAATACCTCTTCTGGGATACCATTTGGAGGTAACTGGTTGATTGAGGAAATCGAGACTAAGCATTTTCAAAATCCTTTGGCACTGTTAAAACTTATTGCTTTAGAGTCGATTTGGTGCATCATAACTGTAGATGACATGGGGATTTTGGACATCACACAACAACTTGCTTCTGCTCCTTTGGGTACATCTGTGTCTTCGGAAGTTCAGAATATAAATCCTTTTGGCGGAGTTCTCTCTTTTAACTCAGGCTTACAAGTATGTTCAGTCCTCTTTTTTTTTTGTCGTTTCTTATCAGAAGTGCTTCATAAAAATTTCTCACGGAATTCTCAAATGTTTTATTAAGATGTTTTCCTCGAACTTTGAGTTTTCTAAATGACATTTGTCAAGACACTTTATAAGGACATATTTACGTTTTTCAATTTTTAAACTTTTTTTGTAGGATTACGCCATCACTGTTCATTGAGACTGAAGTTGTATATGGCTTTTTTAAGAATAAATTAATTCTCTAAGTTATAAACTAGCAGTGAGTGCTGAATTTGTTATATTGATATATATAAATAGTTCTGTGAGTTCTATTCAGTTGATTTATTTTTTGAATTCTGTCAGTCTTTGAAGGGGGAGCAGTACGTTATTTATGAGGATAACATGCTAATGCAAGAAGAAGACGAAAACTCATCGTTATCCGATACTATTGTAAATCAAATTCAGGGGGTATGTGTTCTTGGTTTCCTCTACTTTACAGTCGGTTTTGTTTGTACAGCCGCTTTTTTGTATATTTAGCAGTATTTTTAATTGAAATTGTCATTTCATTTTAGGCTTGGCCAGTGGATGATAACCAGCGTCCAGATTCGATGAGTGAACCTACTGATGTATCTCATGACGAAGAAGCTTCAGATGTGCCTCCTTGTACTCCTTGTACACCTCCACAGTAAACTTTTTTTGTATCTTATTTTCATCGATTTGTCTGGAGTCTCTAAAATTCTCAGCATTGATTGATAGTGCACACAAGAATCTGTTCAAATTGTTCTAGTTTTAGATAAGTGCTTCATTTTCTCCTCTTATTTTGAGAGCACTGTAATGCTAAGACAGTTATTCCCTTCTTAATCTATCACCATAAATATTATAAGCACTGGATTTCTTGCACGTTTGCATGTGTGGCTTGTGTGTTTCCTTTGATTTAGCAATGCAGTGTTTTGACCAAGCGAGTTAATTTGTTTTAAAATGTTTAATTGATTTTCAAATAAAAAATGGTGAAGAAAAACGCTTAACGTACGAAAATTCTCGTTGTTTTCTTTTTCGTACAATGGATTCTGTTTTTATCTTTTTTTTGTACTCGGTATTTCCTATTTTTGATTGTGTCATACCTCAATTTGCGGTATATCTGGGGGTTTACTAAAAGTGAATTTGTTTTCTAGTCATTGTAACTTTATTTGTATTTTGGATAAATGGGTTTCTATAGGGAGTAAAAAATTAAGAGGTGCTTATTGAATTTGACAATTCCATTTTAGAGATATCGATCATCATTGGGGGTGAGATAGAAAAAGGAAAATGAGGAATTGATCTGCAATCAGCAGTATTGTACAAAGTTATGTTGGTCACACTTTCATAAAATAATTGTTATAGTGTTTAGTTTTTAGGGTGGATCGTTATGCGGGTATGCATTGAACTTGGAATATTGTTTGCGTGTATGGCATTGTTGAATCGAATTTGTTGCTATTTAATGAGCAGGATTTGAATTTAGAATACATTTTTCTTATGTTTCAGTCGACATAATTGCAAACTTTTTGATTATTCTTTAAAGCACACTTTTTGCTTGTATCATGCATTGCAGCTAGGATCATGCCATGATAATCCGGGTCGTGTTTTGTCTGTTATGCACTGTGCGCTCATCTGATTTGTTTGTTCTTTAAAAGTATTGTCAGTGGAATGGTTGTTTCATTTCATGAGTTTGTTTTACATATGTGTTTATCTCCGAATTTCAAACAGCTTGTCTCATTGATAATATCTATATATGAGTCACTGAATATGATTTTCTCGATCATTTAATGTATTAACTACTGATGGTTTTACCTGCTAACTTTTATTAGTTCTACTCAAAATGATAAAAATAAATTTCATTGTTGGAAGTATATTTTAGCTTGTTTTTAACATAGTAAATGCATTCCAGGTTGCTTCTCTAAATGTTCGGTTTTCTACTTTCCGATGTTATCCCTTTTGGTTGCGGTAGATTTCATTCAGAAAGTTTGTCTACAGTAGTAAGAGATCAAGAATATCCTTTGCAATAGTATCGCATGCTGATCAGTTCTGTTACAGCTATGTGAATGTTTGGTGGTAGATATTTCATATCCAGTAATTTAGTTTATGTGTTTGTTTCGCCTATTCGCTACTTAGACTAGTTTTGAGGGATGCTTGTATTTCAAACGTATGGAACAGTAGACTATGATTAATTTGATGCATCCAGAAGCAGTTTCCGTATAATGGCAGAATTGTACGTGTTCATTGATATGTAATTATATGGCTGCCATGAAATTCTGCATCAACTGATCTACTTGAAATGTCTTCAGTCTACTTAAGATGCACTTATGCAAAGAAAGAGTGAGAATTAGATAGTAAACGAAATATTTCAAGCACAAGTAGTTTTGCAGAACTTTCAGTCTTTTGAAAATTTTATTCTGTTTTCGAGAAGTCTCATCTGCTCAACTCAAATATTTTCGAGAAATGCTTTCGACTGATCACAGCATGTCAATGCTTTTAAATCATACTGTTTCTAATAATTTTGTAAGTGTTATTTGCGTCTGATTGAACGAACCGATGAAAAATGAAGATTGTGGTGGTGACGTGAGATTCTAGTAATACTTTATGAGGTGTAGAGTGTTATCTTCAAACGGCGAAAACTGAGGGGTCAAGAGATAATTTAAATCTACTGAACATTTTGATTATTCTTTTAGCGATGGGGTACTAAAAATATGATTCATTCACGTGAATTTATATATGCCAGTATTGACGATTTTTTGAGTTACGTAATTCCTTTCAGATGAGAACGGAGGTGGATGTAGAATTTGCGGGCGTTTTCTCAGATCACAGCAATATTAAGTCTTAGTATTTTCTTGTAAAGTTAACTTCAGGACTTCAGGAAGCTTTTCTTTAAATCCTTCAAACTCAAAATGGTTGAGTTGTATGTTTTCCTTATTTCTAAAAGTATTTATTATTGCTTTTAAGATTGTTTCAAAGTGAGTTGATTGTGACCGTTGTGCCGTGCTTTCAGTCTATTCTTGGCATGATACTGATTGAGAAAAATTTTTTTACAAAAGCAAAATTCAGCTCAACTGATACATGAAGTAATTCGATTGTGATCCATGAAAGAGCAAACATGGATTTTGCATGGTATTAAGGTTTTTTCATCCAGAAGTTATTGGACTTATTAAGAACGACTTGAAACGTATGTTTTGGATCTTAATAAAATATTTACGTGTGTTTCACCTCTTAATTGCCCTTACGTTTTATTTTATACTGACAAATAGCTGCTTGTTTTTTCGAAATTCATTATTTTTTCAGCGTTCAGATTTTGAAAGAACTTATAATATCAAGCCACATCTCATCGGCTCTATAAATTTTTGTTCTATGCGTTCTTTGCGAAACCATAATTTACTGACCACCTACAATCCATTTACATTTACAATACATTCTGTAATGCTATCCCATTTACAGTACATTCTGTACTGCTAGAATCAAGATCAATGCGGTTTAATTCGGAAGTGCTGTCAATAGGAAATGAAAGTAAACAAATGCAGAAAGAAGGCAAGTCATGACGCAAAATGAGACAACTGTCTATTGAAAATATGATAAAGTTAAAAACTATCAAATTAAAGTTCCTAAAGAAAATATTAACTAGCAAATTCCTAACATTTCAGATACTTTCAAGTTTTATTACCACTGTTGCAAAACAGAACCTCCATTTTGTTCGCTCATGCTAATGCTAAAAATACATGGGACCCTAGAAGTAATCACTTAAACTCGAAAAAAACAAAAGAATTAGGATAAAAATGCTCTCGAAATTTGTGTAGTCAAAGACAGCTTAGTTTAGTTGAAATGTTGCATTTATGATTTAAAAAAACCAATCAGAAAATATGGCAGCAATCAGTGGAACGATGTGTGTAGTCAAGTCCTACTTGCCATCTTTATCTTGTCTTCTGATAATGATTAACATAAATACTTGTAAGTAGCCTCTTTCAGTCGAAGAGTACAAGTCGATATACTATTGTACAGAAAGTTTTCCATCTCTACGGTTGTTGAGGAAAAAGTCTAAAGAGCATCTGCAAACAAACGAGGGAATTTCCTTAATAATGCGTCTTCGCTCAATTTAATGACGACAACAACTGAAAAAAGTTCCATAACAAAATCTTCGTGAAATCTTTTTTCATGCTATTACATATTTATCACATTTCTGCAACAGTCAAAGTGACAATTGGACTTTGAAATTTTCTATAAAAAAATCGCTTCACAGGACAGTTACTTTTGGTGTCGGTAAAAATTAAATAGAAGCGTATAAATGATTACTTTTGTTATGCTGTCAGATGTAGTCAGTTTTAACCTGTCGTAAAATTTTGATACTGAACAATTAATTGCAGCAGCCGTTTTCAGGTTAGTAAAATACGCGTCCTGCAATGCATTCATAATTTTTTAAAATTTATGCATAAACTGAAATGATCTAACTACAAATGGTTAGATCAATTACTTGATATCGTTAAGGCAAGCCAAAACAAAATGGCTCACATGAAACTAAAATATGGAAGATAATATAGCTTCGAACGAGGTCCAACTCACACGAGCGGTAGTTTGATTCGTAATTAAGTCAATTTTTAGAACTCTCACATATGATGTAAACGGTCAACTCCTTTATTCATTCCCTGATATGTAATTCTCTTCTGCAACAAAATAATGACCCATGAGCTGCAAGTTTACTTATTCCCTTCTTCCTTACGAGCATTCATCCTTCTTTCCCTCTGATTAACTGGTCCTTGACATGACATGTACACTTCTGCAAGTATACAACTTTAGCTCACGCATTTATATGTCATATTTGTGCACAAACCTCGTTCTTTTTTAAAGATAGATGCAAAAACTACAAATCAGATGCACACGCGACTGACTCACTGACTACTAGCTTATTTGTCATGTTTTCTCACAGTTGCTTTTTCTTCATTTCCATTTGCGTAGAATACAAAAGCAAACATACACGGTACACGAACAAGGATAATTAATTTTTCTAACTCACTGCATTTCTGCTCGACTTTCTGTTTGCTATTTTTGAGCTGATAAACGTAAGCAAGTGAAGAAGACTGTTACGTTGTACTGAATACGTATGTTAGAACAAATATGAGAGAACTGTTGCAACTGTAAGATCTCGTAGTTTCTATTTGCTGTCAAAACCTCGAAGACTTTTACATTTCTGTCCTTTTTGTCGATAACTTTATCCTTTTCTCTTCCACAGATCTCTACTTTTCTTTTCTTGCAAGAACAGGCCAAGACAGACCTAATATTCATGCATTCATTGCAACATAACACAGGCTACTGATAGAAAGAGCATTTTACTCATCTAAACAAATGTAAATTGTGAAGTAATGATTGAATTAAATAGATACTTTCATTTTCTGAAGGAACTAATAAATGGGTACGAGACCTATACTTGATCCAATCAATTAATAGCACTGCACTTACAGCATTAATCAAGTGCGATTACTGCATACAAGGTGGCAACATTTTCAGAGTAACAGTTAATGTTGATTGATTTTGTCATTTACACCGACTAGAATAGCATGATGAGTTGCTTTAAAACCTTGAGTCATGTTTCCAATCGATCCAGAGTATTATGTACTTTTATCTTGCTACGTATTATTACAATGAAATATTCTGGTGATAACTGATGAAATGAAGTGAGGTGTTGAAAAGTATCAGTGGCTCTTATTTCTATGGACATCGCAATTTTGTAAAGAAAGAGTTTTGAAAAAAAATGCAGAAATACTTGACTAACAAGTGATTAGTATTTTTCTCTTGCTTTAAAAATATCAATAGAATGGCTGAAGCACGATTGGCGCACAAATATGACTGACTGCTTGAAGAAATTTATGACTAATTATTACCATTAAGACAATGCAATTAAGAGTTTGAGAGGGATGCTATTTAAGCCATCAACAATATTTTTACTACAAATATCGAAAGTGCAACTAATTGCAGGATTTTTTCCAAGTACAAACAATGCTATGACGCTAATATTTGCACTGATTTTATATCCGCCTCCACATGAATAAACACTTCAGTTTCACAAAAACTATTTTAATAATCATTGTATGGCATTAGAAATTGTTAAATATGACTGGATAGTATTACTCGTCTCCACTGTCTGCTATCATCTATAAATGCTGGGAATTAAGTTAAAAAACTGTACTGGAAAATATCAAAGGATATACTTTCAATTACGTGGTGCAAATCCGTGAAATCATTCGAATCTTTGTGACGTGAATTAGAGAACAGATGATGTCAGAAACTGAGAAAGCTACATTTGTATTATGTAAATGATATTCGTAAAGATGACTGAATGGAAGTGGTTTTCATGAAGCTAAAGTCAGTACTTATATATTTTAATGCCTTAAAAAGTCTGAGGAATGATTCGTAACAAAAGGTAAGATGACTTCACTTCTGCTTTTGCTTTCAGATTCAGTTTCCCAAGTTCTTCTTTTATTATCATCAAAACATTCATAATAAAAATTTTAAGAAGTGTATTAGGTTTTAATAACGATCGCAGGAAAAAATTGTTTGTGTTGGACATTTCTGTGTTCAGTGTTCAATGTGCTGCAACCTGAGTTATTTATAATTGACCAACAGTTTTTTCGAGATATATTATCATGGCAAAATTATTAGTTGAAGCATTACATGCGACGAAGCACCAATAAGTATTTGATGAACAAAAATGAACAAAGTTCCCTGTAAGAGGTATAATTGAAGGAATCATCTTTTATTTTTGTTCCTTCATTACATTACTGCTTCTGAGGATTGTCTACATGTTTAAGGGATAACTAATAGAAGACATAAATATCAGATTCCTGGTAAAGCAAAGTTTGTAAACAAGATTTTACAAATGCTAGAAGCTCGGAAGATGACGGTAACATGCAGAAAAAAGCAAAGAAGCAAATAAAAAAAAGTTGTTGCCTTTAAAACAGAACAGAAACTTGGTAATTACCGCATGTTTTCAAGGGGAAAAATGTAAAAATAAAGCAATGGAGGTAAGTATAATTACTTGAGTAACATTAACCGATCGATCTTTTATGGGATAAGGAGTTGACATGACAAAGAGAAGCAGAAGCAGCCAAGTGCATCTTTTTTCTGTTTGTATTTCCATTAATTAATTAATAAGAGGTTACTGTGATGAAAGTCATTAGTTGCGGTTATCACGCATGATACCACATCATGAGCACAAGCACCTAAATGACACAAGCGAGTAGTGCGCATGACTAGCCGCAAAAGAGACAACAAGAAGCGTTCTCCCCTCCCACACACAATCAGCTGTTTATGAACTGTGTTCCTAGCAGACTCACCCATACATTAACACACTAACACACGCACACACAAACATGCAAATTATACGTACACATACATCCACACAAACACACACACACATCCATACACATACACACACATACACACACGCACATGATTGACTGTGCATGTGCAAATGTACGTGTTGCTTGAATAGGTGCATTTATTGCTGCGGTTGAATGTGCTGAAGAAGGGAGGCAGCCATAGCAGTAGCAGAAAAGTATGTGTACGGATGGCTGCCTCCCTGCAATGTGCTGAAACGTGCGGTATAAATATTCACACTTATATTCTTCCTATTTCCCCCAACCTCTTCACTGTTTGCTATTTTGTTGATCCACTCGTCGAACCTTTTCCATCTCTTCCTTTCACTTGATAAATTTCTCATTGTAAGAAGCTACTCTTTAAATCTCACTTTCTCCCATAGAAACGAATTTTTGCTACTTGAAAATTGTTTTTCTATGCTAAATTGTGAGCATTAAAGCAATTTGAATGCATATTGATGGCTTAAAATTCAGATAGTCATGTTATGACCTTTAACGAGGCATCAGGTCAGATAGTGCATTAAATTCGTACTTTTTTCGATGTAAACTCATTATAATTGCGCTCGTCTTTTTATTTGCTCTACCGAAAAATGAATATTACGTTCGTAGTCCAGTTCACTCATGTATAAAAAATGCTTGCTTTCAGTCAAAGCTTTCAAAAACATTCTTCATTCATTTTTTTTCCACATTGTTTCATCTTCACCTTCAGATGGTCAGGATTTGCATGAGAATCAGTGACTCAAAAAAATTTCATCATTCTTTTCACATTCTCAGACTATTGTTAACTGTCACGACTACTGATATAGTCACAGATATTATTTCCTGCGTCAGAGCCTTTAATTATTGCAGACACTTATAAGTCCCAATTTTCTTTCATTTTCAAGTACTTCCCACTAATAACATTGTATAATTTTTGGAAAAAGAAAAAACTGCACTAACATTTAATCATTAGCATATCATATCAAAAAAAGAAACATTCACAGACATTCAAATCATTTTTTCAACTCTTATACATTCCCTTTGACAAATTATTTGCAATCTCGGTAGCATGAATCTTTCAGATGGTGAGAGTGATTATAAAACAGAATTGACCTTCATCACAATAATCGAAACCGGTTCCCGTGCAATCTGCGCTTTTGTATTAGTTATTCGTCGAAGTAAGCCTCCACCCTCCGGAAATTGCAATTCCTCAGTCATTTTGTGCGATTCAAAATTCGTCATTTGTTTCAACCAAAGTTCCTTCAGTTTCTTGGTAAACATTTCCAGAAATGTAGTATCTGTTCGGAAATTTTACAGTTTCGAATACTCAATGCTATACCGGTTGGTAAATATATATTCACACTAGGGATTTATTGGTGTGTATATTTGCCAGCAGCTCTCCATAGACGAAATTACACTGGTAATTAGCGAACTCTTATTTGTTGTTAACTCTACATTTAAATGTAGAGTTCCCCAAAAATCAAGTGTTGTAGTCTATCAAAATTTTTCAGTGCACAGTTACAAATTCAGAAGCTTTGTGAATGAATTTTTCATGATGAATATTGCATTCATGGAATATCTAAATTAGTTTGAATTTTTGAAACATTAGAACTTTCACTAAATTCAGGCACTGTTCTCTTACTTCCATTTCTGACGCAGATATAGTGCTTATATTTATTAGAAATAGAAAAAAATTTTGCCTGGGTACTGGTGGTTATTCATGAAATTGTCCTGAGTATATTTTATTAAGAAAGGACTTCATTGTGTGAGTAAATTAAAGTTGAGTAATAATATATGTGATGACATGCATATAGATGATTATCAGCCTAAATTTATCTCCACAACTTTGTTTTCGAGTTTTGTGTCTGTCTGCATCTGCTCATATTTGAACTCTATATACATTCTAAGTACTAATAACATTTGATTCAAATGAGGAGGAAGAAATAAAAGGAAGAGTATTGTTAGGCTGTCATTCACATTGAATCACGAAGTGCTCTATTTCCAATTTAAAAAAGTGCAGAAAGTAAAACTTTACCAGAAAATTTTTTCTGTCTAGTTAGCATGATTGTGTGTCGAGAGAGAATCGATTCATGGACGGGTCATCTAGGTTTTAATAAATTACATCTTAGAGTAAATTTTCATCTGAGAGAAATGTTCAACCGCCTTATCATCTTTTTTGCCCTAAAATATGGTTTTCATTCTTGAGAATCAGTTGTTTTTTTCAGTGGAAGCAAATGAAGAAGTGTTAAGATGGATGGGTACGGTGACCAAGGACGCAATATGTTACGCGATGATTCTTCAAGTATACATCCTAAATTACGTGGTAAACGACGGGCTACTGATGATCTTTCAGGTTTTTTTTTTCTAGACATTTTTCTTTTTATCAATTCCGTATATTTGTTAACAATGAAATTCCGATTTTGAACTTCTTGCTTTCCTAATAAATCGAAATTTATTGTTATCAATAAAGAATTAGTTTCCTCTTCATGCAGCTTTTTTATTCCTCGTTTATAGATGAATGTATTCATCTATAAACGAGAATTTCATTGTCATCAACATTTTAGTATTGTAATACTAAAATGAATCTTATTTGATCAGTTTTACCTGCTTTTAGCTATGACTCTTTTTCGGCCTTGTTGTGAGTCATAATGTTGAACATTTAGAATAGCTACACCATTGATAGCAGCAGTAAACATTGTTAAAGGTATTCAAATTAAACAGGAGCAGGGGGATCACTAGAGTCACCTCCAAGCTTATCTGCTGTATCATTGCATTTTCATAAATCTTCATCGTCATCATCATCATCTCAGTCACAGAATCAAGCCTGTGGATCACGTCAAACAAAAGCAATAGCACTACCGCAAGGACTCAGATCACAGGTCATAAATGCAAGAAATCTACTGATATTATTGAACTTAATAAAAGTCTGTTAATCTGTCGTTGGCTTATATTTCAGTTCGATACGTTGGCACTAATGGAGCAACTAAAAAAGCGCAACCTGGGACTAGAAATTTCAACTAACGTCAATGGTTGGTTTTTCACTTATTTTTATGAGCATTAACTTTATGAGATAACATCCTAACAGTTTTTTTCTTCAGTAGATACATTTCTTCGTTCATTTGTTTTCATTATTTTCAGTGACTTATTTAATCACTCCATATTTTTGTCTTCTCCGCCCTTTCCTGAACTTTATTTCTTTAATCTATGGATCCTTCACACTACGTACTCTCAATAGTTGATGAGTGTTGATAAAGCAATGTTCAGTGAAAATTTTCTCTCTCCTTCAGCGGAATCAATAAATGAAACAACAGTGAATTTGGAGGTCTGGAAGGCAAGTCGGGTATTAGCTCGTCCTCCTGATATTGAGGGATATTTACCAGCCTGCATTAAAGGTGTCAGGGCAAACAAAGATATTACTGTACAGGTTTAAAATATTTTTGAAGTTTTTTGTGCTGCAGTAACGTTAGAATCGGACTTTTGTGATCTGCACCATAGTGATAACTAAAGTTTTTTTCTCATAATTCATGATGAATCAAGGAATTTAAACTTGTGTTTGTAGTTCGATAACGGTACGGAACATGTATTTGAAGATGTGATAACATCGCTACGTGAATACCCTGACATACTGGCGGATCAAGCACCAAGCTTTGATTCGGTAATTCTTTTAAGATTTCTTCAAAATCCTTATGTTTGAAACTCTTTTCATGCGTAGTTTCTTTTTTCGATAATATTTGATTCATTATTTACAAGCTGTTTCAAAATTAGTGATTAGTTGATGGTGATTCTAAAAAATTTTATGTACTATTTTAATCCAAACTAGCAATCGTTTTTGAAGGAAAGCCCTTGACTTTTTTTGCTACAGTTTTTTGAATGACGCTATAGAAAAGACTTGCTTTTATTGTGTATCATTTGCATAACTCTAGAAATATGTTATGTGTATGAGTGGTGTAGGATATATTTTCAATGTCGTGTGCTGTTTATGACGAAGATAGATGGAAGTAATGAATATTTGTCCGTAATATAGTTCAGTATTTCTGTCTACCAGATTTTTTCATATGTCACATGAGCTGTTTTTATTTCAGATCAACGTTGCTGATGTAGTTTGTGTAAAATGGAAGAGTGACGAAAACATGTATCGCTTAGCAGAGGTGCTGAAAAAAACTGCTTGGCCCATAATGTTCCAGGTTAATGGTTTTATGAAAAAGATTTTTTTTGGTGCCTATTGATCCATTAGCGTATTTTAAAATTAAATCAGTACATTATTACTATCAACACCATAATGTTACAGATGCGTCTGCATGTTGGTATTTCAACTGATTTTTGGTTTCATCGTGCAAGTATACGTCTGTTGCGTCCACCTTGGTATGATGAGTTAAATGCATTGAGCAGCAGCAGTTTTTTTGGTGGTGCTATTGTCAAAAATCGGTTTGTTCCAAATAATTAATCATTTTATTGACCAATTTAGAATAATTTTTCAAATAACCATTCTTGATTTTCTTACGTGAAGTATGGCTGTAGCAATGTTTCGTCTATCAAAAACATTTATTCTTACTTGGATTTTTAGCGATGAAAATAGCGTAGCCTGTTCAAATGGATGTTTAGAAGTACTAGCAAATGCGGCTACAAATTTTGCACCTCTTAGTTTACAAAGTACTCATCAAACAACCCCATCAGGTCCTCTGAGGTAGTTGTCCCTTTTTTTGTATGTATTCAGGTCAAAATAAAAAGGTGTGTTTTTCAGATTCTTAAGTAAATTGAGACTTTAAAAAACTTGTATACTTTTAATATGATATCAGTTTTCGATATTCAGGTCTGGTTTTTTCAGTTCAACAGAGAATGAATCTCAAACTTTGCAGAAAAAATCCAGTTATAGTGATACTGCCGATTCAGATGATGACCAAATGAAAGATGATCAGGTTGTTAATATTTATATTTTCTTTATTCACGTGAATTTTAGCTCCTGCTTTTTCATAAATTTCATGGTGGCACTTATTTATCTGTGTACTGTTTGTTTTTTAAGTGTAGTTGTTTACTGTCTGTTTAAGGTTGATGGTACATCTGATGTGAACAATTTTTCGGGCAAATCAACACCAAGGTCAAACCTGGGAGGAATGGCTACAGAACGAATGTCTGCTCAGTTTTTTGGTCTAACATCAACACAAGCAATTTCTACCCCCTCCACAGCATTTGATGAAGTTTCTCAAGCACAGCAGTTTACAGCAGCACAAGCTGCTTCAGTATGCGCTGCTGCAATACAGGTAAAGATTCTGCATCGCTTTTACCTCTACATTATTACTGTTTACACTATTCCACTGTGTTCTTCACACAATAGTATCTCACGTTTGCCTTTAAATTAACTACTTGTTCAGTTTTTTATCATTCCGTTCATTCTTAATTATATAATTGCGGAAGACTCACTAGTGCTGTTTGGTACTTTTAGATTTAACGTTCCTGTAATTTCTATCATTTTTTGTAATAAAAATGAGGTAATTCTTATCATTTGTTTTCTTTTACGTCTTTTTTGTGCAGTTTGCCACTCAGACGTTTCTCCATATGAATACAATCAGAACTATTTCTATCAAGGTTGACTTTGTTGCAAAAGCTTCTCTTTGAACAATCTCTGTACAGCAGCAGCATATAGCTAGTTGCAATGACTTCATTTTGATTTATTGGAATTTACTTTTTTTTCGGCGCATAACAATTACTTGAAAACAAGGGAAATTGAAATCTTTTACCAATGTAAAAACTTTTCAAATCAAAATAATTCGGCATTTTGAGATATGCAAGATTTGTAGTGCCTAAGGAGCATCTCTTGGCTCACTTTTTTGGACTAAAAATTGATGAAAGAGTGAAAGCGAAATATTGATAAGGAAAACTGATAACAAAGTGTCATACATTTCTATCTTGTTGAAGAGACTGAAAACTGTTTCAATCAATATCACTGAACATTTACTGCAGAATGAAATATATACTACAGAAAGAATGCAGGCATTGTTATTGTCACTGATAGTTTGATTCTTTGCAAAAATTGCAAGTTTTTTTGCACTGATTCTATTTTGTTTCTTTCATACTTTGCATACTGCTGAGATCTATGATTCAAGGGCAAAGATAGTGGAAGTTAAAGTTATTGTGAAAATGTCTATATTGGAGATAAAAGTGTTCAGCTTGCTTAGGTTGAACTCCAGTAATATGTGACACGCATTTTGTTTCACAATAAGATGATTTTACTCGAGATTTCTGAAATTATTGATTATGTTTTTACATTTTCGTAAATCTCAGCTTTCGATGTTTATGTTCACACATCAGAAAGTAGTATTATAAGTTGCTTTATTGTCTTAGAAAAGGCACTTTCATTTGCAAAGGTCCATTTTTCTTTTTCAAATTCAGTTTTCTACTCATCTATTCGATCCATCACTGAAGATATTCAAATTCACTTATGTGAAAGCTGCCTCTGAAATCTCTTGAAGTACTGAACTGAACGTCTCTTGCAGTTATTTTTCTGCATTGAATTCGTCTATAAACATAAGATTTTTTTACTGCTTAGCTGTGCTTACCATAACTACTAGACATTGGCTAACTAATTACTTTTCAATTATGGTTCGTAATGTCCAAACTTTGATGTGCAACATGGTTCTCTTCATCACTTTTTATCCATGACTAAGATGAAAGTAGAAAAAATATGTAAGATGTTCAAATAAACATTTCCTACTCTAGGAAATAATTATTGGTCACGTTTTTCTTGTGTAGACAATCCAACCTTTGAAAGTCTATTAGCAACATTATAAGCATATATGTTTGTTTTGTGCTGTAATCACGAAAATAGGTTATTTTAGCAACAACGAAGATATAAAAAAGGTGAAATCGTGACAACACCTGGTGGAATACGTAAAAAATTTAATGGAAAACAATGGCGGCGATTATGTAGCAAAGAAGGATGTAATAAGGTATTTGCACATTTCTCACTTCATTTCGTTGCTGCAACTCAAATGTGGGATTTTTTGATCAATAGGTCTTATTCTTCTTATTAAGAATTCTCTGGTATTTAGGAATCACAACGTCGTGGGTATTGTTCAAGACATCTTTCACTTAAAGGAAAATCTATTCTTTCCGATTCTAATTTTGTAACTGCGCTTTCACCAGGTATTAACTTTGATGCTTTTTGTTATGTTTTTTTTATTTGTTTCAAGTTTGTTGTTTTCTTAATTTTAGTCTTGCAACATGATGCATTTGCTTTTATAAGTTTAAGTCGACGACACCAAAGAGCATTTCACGTTGTTGATTAATAATATTTCACTATGAAGGTGGTAGTTCCATCGATTGGTCGCACGGTGACTTCTCAGAACTGAGTCCAGTTGAATCACAAGGACGTCGCTTTGATGAAACTGATGTCGCTAATACTCTACTGAATCTACATAATACTCATGGTATTTAATTTGGGAAGATATTAGAGAATGGCAAAGCTGCATCATATTAATATTTTGTTTGTTTGATATGCATGAAAAGTTTAAATATAGTGACTATAAAAAATATTCTCATATTCCAATAATCAAATATTGTATTTTCCTAGTTCATATGTATCTCAAAGAGTTATGTAGTTTGTGAAAAAAGTGCTCTTTCAATATTTCATACTTCTGCGCAGTGTTGAGCAATCTTTTGAAACACTAGGATCAGCACAATTGCGTCATATTGTTCCAACAAATCTATTAGCTTCAAAGTTAATACCCAGTGGCATGTCTCATTTGTCTCATTCACGCACTTTAGAAGAAACTCTCAATGAAACGATCAAGGTAATCTTTTTTAATGGTGAAACAGTTTCTTGGTTCGTTATTCCTTTATGTTTTCTATCTTCTTTCCCTTTTGAATATTACAGATGGATAAAAGTGTGATTAATTCTGGTGTATATCAGCACAATTTGAAGATTGCTACAGATCGACTACCTGAGCAATCTTATCCACAACCATGTGATTTGTTGCCTCTTATATCTGTTCCAAGAATAAAGGTCACATTTGTTGTCTTGTTTTTCATTTATTTACAGACGCATAGATTCTGCTTCTCATTTTGAGCATATTTTTCAGTTTTTGGTAGCATGCTTCTAGATGTCCAGTAAATTCCTTGTTGACAAAAAAGAGCTAGTCGATCCAACAAAAAGGAGTTTGTAAAACAGAAGCTAGCAAATAAAAAAACCAATATTTAATAAATGATATATTTCAAAAATTGTGTGAAGTTAACTTTTTAAGATAGTATTTCAGAGATCTTTTTTAACAATTTCTTGATTCCCAGAGTTATATTTCAGGGTTCTTTGTCCGAACTGAATCTTTGTATGAATACGACCAGTTCGTTATTAATGCAACTTGCCCCCCGTTTCGACCCTTTTAGTTCATTTAATCTGTTATCAGAGATAAGCAATGCAAGGATCTCTGAATCAGATGATTCAGTGTCACCAGGAGGAGATTTGTTAACTAATAAGAAGCTTTCAGAGATTGATGATATATTGGATGATGCAAGCACAGCTGAAACTGGTTACATTTCTTTTTCTGTACAATTTACAGTAGCAAATCTATGAAATTACATATTTCAAAGCAAATCTAGGAAATTACATATATTAAATATTGGAGGCATTAACTAAATCAATCACAGAAGTGTTTTTAATAGTTTCCTTTAAATTATGTTTCAACTCTCTGCATTTATTTTTGGCATATTGTGAAAAGTTTTGATAATTGGGAAAATTCAAAAAAAGGAGTAAATGTGAGATGAAACTGTACTTTCATTATTAGTTTGCTGTAGATCCTGAAGTAGACGATGGAAGTGAGAAACCGCAGTCTTGCAAAGGTGATGGCTGCATTGACGAGAACGAAAATATAACAGATAATGAAGATTTCGAAGAAGATTGTAGCAGTAGTGTTCAGGAACAAATTTTTTCCGGAATTGAAACAAGTGGTATTTTTTTGATGAAACACAATGTAGTTACCATGAGTATTTTATATTACTGTGAGATTGAAGTGCTCTTGATTTTTTCCCTAGAATAATTCACCATTATAATTTTTTGTTTATTCTTGATTGTAGCTTATAATTACCTCAATATATCGTATTTAAATGTGGATGTTAAGTTTTACAGTGATTTGTCTAGGGAATCCAGCTGAAGCGCTTTCTTCTGGTGAAAGTATTTCAAGACACGATGTCGTCGAGGGTTATTCAGAAGGAGAAATCGATCTAGAAGGTTTGTTATCTGAATCATTATTTAAGAATTGTTTACTGTAATACACTTCTAGGGAAATTATAAAGCTCATGGGCTATTATTTAGTAAAAATTTCCCTAAAAGTGAAGTTTTGTTCGTCCAAGTGCATTCATGTTTGAATTACATAAAAAGCAAAGTGATTTCAAAGTAATGGTGATTACCATGAGTATTAAAGAAAGGAAATCAGAACAATTTGTCTTTACTTCTTCTTTTAAGTAATTATTGGTGCTTATGGTGAATAAAATGAGTTATGTATGTTCTATACTAGTATCATAAATGCTTGCACTGATATTTTTGTGTTTTGTTAATCTGAGATTATGTTTGGCATGACTGCAAATTGATGAATTTCATTTTGCTTTGTATCCGAATATTAATATCTTGCTATGTTTGTGTGATTAACTTCATCACCTCCTACTTCAGTAAATATGAGGCCTCCAGTAAATAAGAGTATGTATAAATTAAGATGAAGGATATTTTCAAAATAAAGTGTTTATTTTTTGCTCGGTCCACGATTTATTTTTTTAAGGCTATTTCAGTTCAGTGGGGATCATTTCGTATAAATAAATTGTGTAAAAATTTTATTCCAAATTGAAATCGTTTTATAGGTGTCAGGCATTCTTCGGTCGCATGGCATCATTTAATACCCCATTTGCAAAAACGAATATTCGAAGATACATTGACGGAGTTTTCATCATCACTTGATACTTTCACTCAAGATACAGTTTCGTTATATCATTTCCTGATTATAATTTTTTATAAATGTATGTTGATTGCTTCACCATTTATCAATAATTGTTGTTAGGAACCGAAAGAAATTAGTGGTAATCAGCAGACTGGAGGTATTCGAAAGAATTCTGATGAAGGGCAAAGCGCTGTGAATCAGCAGTTTGAAAGTGAAAGCGACAGGTATAGCAATATTAATGAAAGTGCTGATAAAATACAAAGTTTTATGCACGTTAAAGAATAATAGAAAAGGCAGCAATGAGAAAAATCATATCCGTTCGTGAAACTGATGAGATGAAATTAAAGAGTATTTTACAAAATAAATAGTAGAATGCTAATTGTAGGTGTGATAAGAGGAGATTTCCTCTGGTAATCAAGGGGATGTAATACCAGTCTAATTTTTTTGTTTTTCCAGAAACATCGAACACGAAACGAGAAATGATTGTGGAGATGTTTATATCAGAACTTTGTGTGAACTGGATAATTTGAAAAACATTTCACTTGGTACGTCGAGTAATAGTTTTTGCGCTGATCATTTTTTGTTAGTTTAAGAGCTGCGCTTGCAGGAAATCAATATTTTAGATGTCATTTTGCTTTCAGAAATTTAATTCGTCATGAAAATTCAATATATCTTACTCCTATGAGTGTTACTATTGTCACTTGACTGCATTTATAGATCATTTCAATTTTGAACTGGAGGATGATACATTTGAATTGGATACAGCTGAGGAATCTCTGTCGAGTTCACCAAAAAAGCGTAAACTTCATAGAGAACTCACTCCTGACGTTGTGGGCAAAAAAGTTGTGAGCTTCATTAAAAATGTCGATTTAGCTGTCGTTTATACAAATTGAAGATGATATTTTATTACTTTCATTACTTCTAAAATATCATACTCGATGAATCAATAGGTTCGGGAACATATTCGACGACCAATGAATGCTTTCATGATATTTTCAAAGCGGCATCGACCGTTAGTACATGAGAAATATCCAAATCGAGATAATCGAACAGTTTCGAAAATTCTTGGTGAATGGTGGTACGCTTTGGGCTCTGAAGAAAAAGAAAAATATCATGATCTGGCCATTCAGGTCAGACTATAATATTCATATGCACCTCAAAATATTCGAACTATACCACACTCTTGTCTTAAATTACTATTTTAAGGTGAAGGAAGCACATTTTCGAGCTCATCCTGATTGGAAATGGTGCAGTCGTGATAGAAAAAAGACATCGAATGGTGTAAGAAAAGAAATGGGATCAAGTAGGTTTTTATTATGCAGTAAAAATTTTACCAAAGTAAAAAAAGTAATTTGGGTGTAGTTTTACTTAATACCTAACTTTCATGATATATTGGCACCTTTCATTTGTTTGCCTTGTGACATAGAGTTTCATTTTAAGATGGATGTGCGAGTGATGGTTATGATCTTGATATCTCAGCTCAGATGACTTCAGATTTTATTGATGGAAAGCCATTTTCATTAATCACTTCAACTACGCCAGTTAGTTTCCGAAAACTTGATAAATGAAATTTGCAAAAAAAGCATCTAACAGTTGCAAAAATATGGAGTCTGAAAGTAAATTTGGTGATTGGAATGTTATATTATATTGGAGTTATTTGCATAAAGTTTTTTGTAACCGGCAGTATTTCAGAACTCTTATTTTTTATGCTTTCAGACCTTTCGTTATTCGATTACTCGAAGACCAGAAATAAGATTAGTTCCAGAGTCATCAGTGGTCGATTCTGTTAGCATTCTGTCATCATTTATGTCTCCCAAGTAAGCATTTAAATTAATCTTAAAGCTTTAGGATAGAAAAATTATCAGTTTATATTTGTTTTCTATATTGTTGGTGTATCGTTATTTAATATATTCTTTTGAAGCAATGTTCAGCAGAGCTACAAACAACCTTTGGAAGTGCTGCGACCAGTCATCAGTTCGGAAATCGATTGTGTAGGTGTTTCAACAGTCAACTAGCTACTGCATTTTTCTGCCATTTGTTTCTTGCATGACGTGTACTTATATTTTATTGTACAATAAATAGATTTCCCGTAGGTAGCAACCGCATGTTGGGCAATATTTGAATTCTTTAATTAAAATGTATGCATTATGCGCACGTCATTTTTTCCTTAGATTAACCACCTGTAAATTTCGCATTAAATTTACTATGAAGAATAAGAGTTTTGTTTAAGATCCATTGAATGTCCTGTATCATGTAGTAAATCTTATATTACTGTTCATTTTTCAAATTCTATAACAATTCCAATTCACTAGATTGCCTTCTGACTACTGCTTATACTAGTTATAAAGTTAATGTGGAAATGTAACATAGTGGTTGTTTTATGGTTGCGTTTAATTGTGAAGAGTGTGATTTTTCTAATTTTGTAGACAATTTTAATACTTTGTTATTGCTCAGGTTTATGGCCAAATTATGTTTAAATTGTTTTACTCACTTTTATATTGCTGTTTGCTGAGTACTTTCTCAGCTGAAATAAAAAGTTGAGAAAGGTGAAGTTACTGAAGTTTTTTTGGTACCAGTTTTTAAATTTTAAGAGATCAAATTAGTCTTGTTCTAAATTTTCATGAAAATCATGTCTTTTTTGGTTTTTTTTTACTTTCAAATTTGATATTTTTGATCTCAAATTCTTTTATATCATCATACAATCAACATGCAAAAAATTGCTTTGCTGATGTTACTAGGTCTACAAATATATTTAAGATGGGTCAATCACCAGCTAATCGGTTTCTTCATGATGGAAACACAGCAGTCAAGTCTGCTTTACCATTGTTTTCTCTTCCGGTGTCAATTTCTGGTAAAAATGATCATTCAGTCCTTACTAACTTGTCTCATGGATCTGGAATGCCGGACACAACTGATTTGTTCCCTCTCTTTGGCCAAACGGACTATGCTATGAAAACAAAAACAAATTGGGATTTTATTCAAAACGAAGATTCTAGTTGTCGTGAAGTGCATCAGGTAATTACTAAGTTTATTTTTAAGAAATTCGTAGTGTCTCAAAACATCGAGTAATAGTTTATCTTACAGATAACTCTTACTCATATGTCTCCTGTATATAGTAATGTTTTCGACAGAAATGAAAAAATTGGTAGTTTGACGACCTCAAAAAACTTTGCTTTTGAGGTTTGGTTTTCCAAATATTTCAGTTACCTCACTTTTTCAGGAATATTTTCCACCGTTTAGTTTTTTCTTGTGTTTGGCTCTTAATTTTCTTAAATTAGCCTTCACATCATTTCAACTTTTTCTTTTTCTTTGTCTACAGAAGTTTTGTGACATTTTTATAGTTCCGCTCGAATTTTCACACCTCCTTCTAGATGATTGTTGTTGTAAATTAGAAATTTATAGCAGTAGTCATATTTATTGCTGTCAGAAATCTGCAGGTTATGGCTGTGAAATCTATGAAAGTTGTTCACCAACAAAAATCGAATTCAAATAATCATAAAAGGTTTCTCTTTGAATAAAGCTCATTTTATAAGTTCATTACTAAGATGTTTTTTATTTCATTGTGATATCTCTATTTTTTTATCGTTATTCAAGCTTTTCTGTTGAATCTACGCGAGTGTCAGAAGTTGTTTCTTCATGTGCCAAAACTTCATTGTTAGTTGGTCCTAATGCGAAAGAAAATTTAAATACTTTTGTGCTGATGCCAACACCAGCTCAACGAGGAATGGCAAAAGGGCAGAGACGAAGTATGAATTTTGATTACAATGAAAACAAATTTGAAGGTAGCTTTTCATAAATATGTAATTGTAAGTATTGAGAGCACAATTTTTCTAATTTTGACTTCATATGAAGATAAAATATGAAGTTGTCTAGTCTGAAATAAACAAAGATTGTGCATTCGCGCTCACTTCTCAGTAGAGCTTGTTTGAAAGTTTTATATATCCATAAACTGATCAGAAAATTCTTTCATCTGAAAGTTGTCGTAGGGCATTCAGATTTCATATTCTTTAATCCTTAAACTATTGCTCAGTTCAGCTACTTTTCATTGCTGCTGCTTTGTTTTTTCCAGCCCTTCATTTTTGTGTGAACAAATTTCTCCAAGCTTGTTGTTATAGTTATATCTTTGAGATTCTTTAAAGTGACGACCTTTATTATTTATCCAGTGAATTGCTCTTTGTTTTAACGTGAAAATTTTGGCACTGTTCAATAGGTATACTTTTTAAATGGAGTTTGATCTATTGTATGGGTGAATAGCAGCTTGACCAAATCAAAGTGATATGTATCAACATGCTTTAATGTACACCCAATTTCTTGCTTAGAATTAAGAACTTTTACTGGTAGACTTACTGTTTTGAAAATTTTATGGAATTGACTGTGACATCTAATTTTAATTTTTTTGTGATATTGCGCCGCTAAAATATGATTCACGATTTCAGAAACGAGTGAATTGGCAAAATCCGTTGAAATAGCTCGAAATTCAACACTTGTGGTAATCGTTACTTTTTATTGTACATTGCTTGTTTTTTTTTTTTTCAGTGTTGACCAATATTTATATTTGAGTATTTTTAGAAATCCAATTACAATGTGGATTTAACAACAGACATTGTCAGTGATGATTGTGCTGTTTCGAATTCTTCATCAAGTAATGAAGATATTGAATTGAAAACTTCCGTAAAAAAACTCTTTAAGCGAAATGACGATAGTATGGACAGGTTAGTACAATGTAAACAACTTGTAATGCTGTATTACAATTAATGATATATAGTTTTGCATTTCATAATATTTTTATCCCATTTAGGGTTCTTAATCTTGTGGATTTCGAGAAAAAGTTTGCTAATTTGCCGGCTTTTACTCCTGATGATTCGCAAAAAGGTTTCATTTTCGTACTTAATATGCTATTTTTTTCAGTGCGGGAAAAAATAGAAATTGACAGCATCTCATCTATCTAATTTTAATCGTTGCGCAATGTTTTCTAGGTACATCTTCACTACCTTCAACACCTTCAGCTTTGCTAAGGACGATATTAGAAAAGCATAAATGCTGCAAAAGTAATGGTGATAAATTAGAATCACCATTGAACACTCCTCGCATCGTGTATTCAACCCCAAGAACCCCAGGTTAGTGGAAATCTGGAAAACAAATTTATTTGCTTACTAAGAGTTTAAAAACCTTTTTCGTGATCTGAAATACGGATGATACAACGAGTATTAATTGTGGAAGTTTTTATATGGTGATTGGATTTTGTGAATGGTTTGTTTCTGTGAGGTATTTTAATCCTATTTTTTACAGCAACAGCAACTACTCGCTGGGATTCATCCTTCTTTTTCGGTCCCAATTTTAATCCAGCAACAGTTCATGATCATGTAAGAGATAGAATGATTTTCAGTCACATTCTTTTTTATTATTTTGTTATGATTTCCAAATTTCTCCAAAGACATATAGCTTAAGCTTTTACGATATCTCAGGAACTAATTTTTGAGGTTTTTAAGATAAGGATTTTCAGTTACTGACTCCGATCTGTTAAAATGAATTTAGGTCGCTCTCTGCTAGCATCGTTATTATTAAAGTGCGATCAAGCTATTAAAAGAAAGATTTTTGCTCACAAATATTCAATACTTTTTTTTTCATATCAATCTTTTTTTTGATTCTGATCAAGAAGGAATCCATCTAAAATTAGTGTTGTATTTTTAGGATGATAGTGCATCGCCATTACCAGTGCAAAGCCCGAAAACACCTCAGTATACTGCAATAGAAAAATCAGCGAGTCGCAAATTGCTCGATTATCGAAGACAATTAGTAGTTGAATTACTTGAAGAATATGGAATGTTCCCATCAGGTTGGTACTTGTTTTTTATTGATCTCAGAATACTGTTGTAAAATTTGGCGTACTAAGTAGTGTAGCATTTTAGGACAAGCCGTTTCGGCTTTTCAAAATAAACACCGACAATTTTTTCCCAGTAAACAAACATTAACTTTAAAAATTCGCGAAATGAGACAGAAAATGATGGCAAGCATTCAGTCCCCTATTGCACATGTGACAGGTAACTGTATAAATCAGCTTGATATTAATGTGGAGAAATTATTTTATTAAATTATTTACAATAATTTTAGTTAAATTTTGAAGGTCAACTTCTAAATTTACACATCTTATATTTATAAACCAAAAAATGCATTCAAGATATTAGCAACATTGGGAACTTAATTTCTTGGTTTAGAAATTTGATTTTCTTGTGTTAGCTGGTTTAAATCGCTTAACATATAAATCATTGGTTGCAGTGCAATATACAGCTCCAGACATTAATGTGAATTCAATGTAACTGCAAAAAGGAAGCAATGATTGAGCGTTAGAAAAGCACAGATTTATTCAGTGAATAGAAAGTGTCGTATTTTTTTAGTTATATGTTTCAGAAAGTCATTAGTATACAAATTAATTTAAGGTTTCATATTTTATCTATTTGTATAAGCATGAAGTTTGCATATTCTAGATCTTTAGGAATGTTTTTGAAGTAGATTTCGCATCTGAGTATGATATCTAGTAATTTGTTTTTTTTTTTAATTCCTTTGCTTTTAACACTTTTTTACTTATTACTTTCTATCACTACATACTTGAATATATAGCAAAGTAATTACTTTCTCTTATATAATTTTGTTGGTAATCAGTTCGCTTCTTTCTTAAATGTAGTTTAAACTCTAGTTTTATTTTTCATTTCATCTGAAATTAACAGCTCA